ATATATATATATATATATATATATATATAAAAGTTGAAAATATTGTAAAAAATAAAGTGGTTCTAGTGATATCCTTTTTGAATTTGATATATAGACACAACTTTTGCAGCAATTGTGGAAAATATTCCTAGCTTTATATTCATATATTTTCCATTTTTGAAATAGAAAATGATGTACTCCAAGAATAATAATAATAATAATAATAATAATAATAATAATAATAATAATAATATGGTTCTAGTTGTATCCTTTTTGAATTTGATATTTCAAAAGTTGCAAGACCTAATATTTCAAACTTTTATTAGGAGATAAAACAAACTTTATGTTAGGACTATATTGCTTTGCCTACTTGCATAATTATCGATGATGAAGATAGCATTTCGATTACGAAATTTACATGATCCACTAATTTTGATGTATGTTAAAAAAATCATGTTTCGATTACAAAATTTTGATGTATGTTAAAAAATCATGTTTTGATTACAAAATTTGTATAATTTTTTAACTCCGCTTCTCTCTATATAGTAATTAGAACAAGATTGAAGCAAGTCAAACACTCTGTATATAATATATAGTCTATATACACTTGTCAACTTGTTCACTCTCTGAGAGTGACTAATTCACACTTTAAAAAAATGATAGTTTACTAGGTATCCATGTGCATTATACTTTGTATTTTTTTATATTAATTTTTTTTTCTCATCTCACTCGATGTTCCGTATCTATTTAAAGTTCAATTAATTTGAGTTTACATTGAAAATATCACCAAAGAGATAACATTTTTTTTTATCAAAAACGATTTTATTCTGAAACTTGAATGCGAAACTTCTTGCCAAACATGTTAAAAAGGTTCTTTAATAAAATTGGAACTCTTTATATAAGTTGTACTAGGTCAAATTACAATTTCAATCTTGATGAACAGAGTAATGTTAAGTAATACAAGTCTTCTAATATTTATTTTTTCTTTCACGTAATCTTTTGCTGGACGTAACACCTAATTTTTATCTAATCAAATTTTATTCAATAAGAAATACAAATACTTGTTAGACAAAGCAAAATGTCTAGAAGTAACAGTTACACATTACTACTAAATACACTAATATTTACTAGTTTCTAATCAATTTACCCAAGATTAAATAAGTGATAATATATTATCTATATGTTCCTCAACACTTGGTATGCATTTGAACATTATATATCTCGTAAAATTCTACGAATGAAATCTCCAAAGGATAAAGTATATAGAGATCTTATCAACTTATTCCTATATCGTTAAGTAGTTATTGAAGTCTCAACCATCTCATAGCTATCCGTTATTTTGCATTCAACGGAAAGAGCGCTCTTTAAACCAAACATGAAAAGTAATATTCCATCAGACAAACAAGAAAAAGAGACATACTAATCAAGATAATAAAACTTATGCGAACCTTGCGCCTACTTTTGTGAGGTAGAGAGACTGTTTTCGATAGACACGGAGGAGTTATTTTTGTTTAACAGTAAAAAACAAAAATGCAGAAGGTTTTTTCTAGCAATATAATATAAAACGAAGATATAGTTTTCCCCTACCAAAGTTGATACAACTTTCAACATTTTTACATCTCAAGAGATAACTTAACCAAAGGTGCAAGATACTTAAAAGGACAGCTAAAATTCATGCATGGATAGTCTAATACATCAACGATTTAGCACTTCAATAACGGTCAAAGGCAGCGGCGGGTGGACGTCCTCCTCCCCTACGAGGTTGATCATATGGTCCTGCTCTGTCTCTGATGCTTTTCCCCTCGTAGCGTGCTGGTCCTCCACTGGAGTATCTGTCACCATATCGTGGACCTACATCCCTGTCGAAACCCCTCTCTTTGCCTGAACCGTTCTGAGCATATCGGTCAGAAACCCCATACTTGTTGTCCGCGAAACGATCACCACCAGCAGGGTGCCTAAATATCATAAGAAGTCACTTTTGGTAACATGTGGGGGCGGGGGAGGGGGGGGGGGGGGATTAGATCTGTAGCACCAAGCAAGAATAGAGAAAATATCACACCTGTCATTGGCAAATCGATCACGGCTTCCATATCTATCATCTTTGCTATCATAGCGCTCCTTATCAACATAATGGCCTCTGTCGTATTGATCATCTGTATACCGACGGTCACTGCCATAACGATCCTCACGTGCACTACCTCCACCAAACCTTGATCGAGGAGGGGGGGATAATGCACGTGAACCACGGCCACCACCTTCTTGTTGACAGTCTCTAGCCCAATGGCCTGGGCGGCCACACTTGAAGCAATTGTCTTGCCCTGCTGACCTATCACCACCACCGTAGCTACCACGGCCACCACCACCACCACCGTACCTACCCCTGTCACCACCACCATAACTACCCCTGTCACCACCACCATAGCTACCCCTGTCACTGTCTCTGTAGCTACCCCTGCCACCGCCTCCGTAGCCACCGCCATAGCCATGGTCAGAATCCTCACCACTCATCTTTGGTTGGGCCTTGTTCACAGAGATCACCTTATCACCAATCTCCCTGCCATGCATTTCTCTGATTGCATCTTCCATGGAGCGACGGTCTGCAAATGTTAAAAACCCAAATCCACGAGGACGCCCTGTATCCCTATCCAGCATAACCTACAGTGCTAACAGTTTAGAGACTAGGACAGGACAAACACATCAAGCTAAAGATTAACTCTCTTAGAAGCCTGTAGTAATATACAAGCACACGACATCCAATGATATCTAATAGGAACAAAATCAAATTGATAACGTGGAGAAGGACTTCAGATATAACACACACTAAAGGAGGAGTTTCATTTACCTTTCCTCTTTCACATGCAAATTCTGGAGAATTAAACAGTGAAAATTACTGACCAGAATTATTGATGATTTCTCAATTAGCAAAATGATAGCAAAACAAAATAGAGCATTCTTTGACATGATCTAAACCTTGCAAGAGCAATAGTTCAAATTGAGTAGCCAACAATTCAACTCAAAATTTAAGTCCAAAAAACGCAAAAATACACAAAGAACTCCAATAGTCATAGGAAGATTCAATCTGGAGCACCTCACAACAGTTACAAAAGTTAATTATGAAAACAAAATGAAAGGTACATTCCTTTCCTTAATGCTTCAGACCATTTCCAGGGATCTCTATTAAATCCCTCCACTTTCAACTTGATGATCTACATTTAATGCAGTGAAGTTTGAATGGAGAAAGTGGTTGGTTTTGGTCATGCATGACAAGGTATGCTAGAACTTCCAAGGCAACAAACTCTCATCATTGCTACATTTCAACACATTATCACAATATCATGATATTCTAGCTATTCACATGGAAAAATCAAATTATATGTTCTTTTTAATATTTTTAACCAAAAAAGAATGTCATGATATTGTGGTGTAGTGTTGAAATTATCACATGAAATCTTCTTCTAGATGATATATTTATCACGTATATATATAATGAACACCACACATCTTATTAATGCATCACTCTGCCCACTTAGTGGCTAGAGTGACGTCATTAGACAGCTCTTCCAGTTCATGGTTGCTTGTAAACTTGGCATTCAACTTTAAATATTTTACATTACTCAATATATACTCCAATTCCCCAGTTAATACCAACTATACAACTACGCATGCAACTGCGCAAAGCATAGGTAAGCAAATGAGAAGTAGTAAACCCGGACTGCTGTTAAGTTTCTTAATCACTTAATTAGTATGAAAAGGAGAGAAGTTAAAGCATATTTTTAAACAAGATTAGGAATATAAAGTTACTTTGGCGGAGGAAGTCTTACTTGGGCAGCAGAAATCTGCAGGTCTGCAGATTATTTCACTCAGACCACATGTATCCAGAATAATCAGTACCATTAACAGCTAAAACAACAAAACCAAACAAGAAGGCTTCCTAACCTCTTGGATAAATCTTAACTATGCCAATTGGGATGGATCCATAAACTTCTTTCATATATTTCAACCAGACTAATGAGTAACGAGCAAAAGTATCGCAGGCGTATGTCTAAGAACAGATGGCTAACCATACAAACACAGCTTACCACTCAAAGAGTTGACCATCCTGACAAAGCATATTGCAAAAGTTTCCTTGGGAAAACTTCTCATGAACATCATTTGTTTTTTTGTTCAGTAACTGTTCAAAATACTGATCTTCATTCAGCTATCCTTTCCAGCACAAGCCTCAATTAATCCTGATTAGGAGAACCCTACTAGAAACTTTTTACCTTCCCACTTACGCCATCTGCTAGCAAGGCATCAAAGCAGATAAAGCTAACTCAAAAGAACTAATCCCACTTTGAGCCTTTGAAATGCATTTCAGGGGGAACAGGGCAAAATCTTAATAAACTAATCTATAGCAATAATCCATGAAACTTAACACTCTGAAGCTGCTAACTTGGCTGAGCAACGCAACTCCTGAGTCTTCAGAGGCGTCATCTGGTGGTCCACGATATGGAAGACAATGCAGTTGCTCAAGAGAAGAACATCTCACAAGAGCAAACCGATCATTCAACAACCAAATAAAACAGAAAGAGCTAGCTACATGGAGAATGAAACAGAAGTGAATCCAGATACTGCACGCAACAGCTTCTAAAGGGCTTCAAGAAGGTCAAGAAATCAAGAATCACATTCAATCCTGACAGTGGCAAACCACCAAGTGAAACAGAATGAGCAATCAAGAGGGAATGAAACAGAAGTGCATCAAGATTCTGTGTACACCAGCTTCGAAAGGTCTTCAAATGGATAGAGAATCAAGTTCAATCTTGAAAGTGGCTCGCGTGAAGGCAGGAGATCAGCTAAGTACCACATAGCTCTCACCTCTTTCCCTGAAACTTCTGTAGAGCAAAGAACAGGTACCGCTGGATGTCGTCTAATACAGATCCGTCGACTGTCGTAGTTATAAATGGGAAAGTAGAAGTTTAACATTCCAGTAATTTTACAGGAAACACAAGAAGGTTGTTGTGTTTCTCTCATGAATTCCAGTACCCAAGCTATTATCTCATGTATGCCACTGACCATTCAAAAGAACGTCTTACTGTTACAAATACACCTCACAGATCACGAATTAGAAACAACGTAGCAAACCGTAGTTGGAAGATTGACTAAAAAAGAAAGTGCTGCTACCATGCAAAGGCACTTGGGGGCTTATATATCTGGTGGGCGCTCATCATAACAATTGACATAGAAATTCTAGTAAGAGAATGTCATTAACCTTCGATCAGACTGGTCCTGCTAGCTTTCAAGAACAACATGCCCCGTTCACAGAAACTGTCAACCAATTTAACTTGAAGAAATATGGGAACTAGACTCTGAGCTAAATTGCATATTCAAAATTCATCTCTTAGTTTAACCTCTTATTAGCAGGAATGCCACCGTTGCTTGCAACTGATACGTGTCAAGAGCTAACTTGCCTCTTATAATTTAAGCACCTTACATCAAGAGCTAACTTACCTCCTCTATGCCCCCATTTGACATGTGTCACGAAATTAAACATATTTAGAGGATAGTTACTGCCACTTGAATGCTATGCCTATATGTTTAACATTAATTGAGGAAAAAGTCTTAAAATTAATGGTGCTTCCACCAAACAGACCACCTATGATGCGCACTCAGTCTCCACATATTCCAATCATTTTCCATGAAGTCCAAAACACAAATGTCCCTTGAAATTACTACACCATACAATTAGCTAATGGCTGAACCAGAGCAGAATTGTGAATCAGCAGCACTCAACATAGAGACGCATTTCTGAGCAAATCACTGCTGCAATAGAAACCAATAGTGCTTCACGTTGTTAACATGCAGCTGATCTAAGCATTTTCGGATAGTCTAGCAAGTGAAACCTCAAAATCAAGCTGCTGAAGGAATCAAGTATTTATGTCCAGCAACTTCACATTCCAATGAACAAAAATCCTTCCTCATACAATTCCATCTAAAGCACCTCAAATCCATTAACTGGCATAACCAGATCCAGAAATATTAAAGGAAAAAATTAATTAATAAATGATTAAAATGAAATGAAAAGTTGGAAATAGACATGAGTAAACATCAACTTGAAGCAATACAATTGATTTGCAAAGTTGAAGATTAACCCAACAAACTCCCCCATAAAGCATAGCACCACAAAGCATATGAAGAGAGAAAAACACAAAACTATCTTTAGTGCTTAAGTTCATGTATACATCAAACTTCAGACAAACAAAGTTTGCAATCATTCCACAAATACCTGTTCAGGGTTCCTACAATACATACAAATTATTTTCTTTTAGACAAACTAGTAAGATTTTATTATCTTAACATTGTTCGTTCCAAGCTTTACGAAAAAGGAGTTCTTTTCCGGAAAAATTATGTTTGAAGTTCATTTTCAGGAAAAATAACCCCTGCATACTAGACCAAAAGGTCATAATCTTCATAGAAAAACCCAAAGGTAGTTTATTTTCCCAAACTTGCTCAAAATGCATAAAAAAGTACAACAACAACATTACCACATAACCTACGAAATCACACAAGGTCGGGCCTGAAGAGGGACGTGCATACACAAACTTACACCAACTTATAAAGGTAGAAAGGCAGTTTCCGATATACATGATTTTTTTAACAAAAAATGCAGGAAAAAGAACCTAAAAAACTACAATAAATTTGAAAAAAAATGTGTATACATAAAAAAAAATCTACAAAAACATCATCAAAAGATCTAAATCAGCATAAGAACACACAGTACACATACATAGACAAATAAATCCTTTAAAAATTGCATTTTTTTCGCATAAATTACAATGAAAACTGAATCTTATGAAAACTACGAACCTGACAATCGATAATTTTGCCGTAACGGCCAAAAGCTCCTTCGAGTTGACGGTCTGTAACATCCCAAGCTAAACCTCCAACAAATATACGATAATCATGGTCTTTTCCTGACATTTTTCTGAAATTGAACAAAAAATACCATTTTTAACAGAAAAATTAAAACCCTAGAAATCAATTGAGCTGAAATTGAACAAAAATCTAACTCCAATTACGCACGAAGATATATATATATATATATACCTGGGTTCTCTATTGCAAATGAACTGCTTCAATTTTTTTCGCTGTGTGGGGTTCTTCACAAAACCCTATTCTTACTTTGGTGTTTCCTTTTTAACCTTTTCGAGTTTTCGATATGAATGTCGAATATCGAGTATCAAATATTATTTGAAAAATAAAAATGTCTGTATATACTATGGTCTCAAATTTTTATTATGTGGTAGGCATACTTAGTGTTTGTTTTCCTATAGTTAAGATAAGACATGATATATTATTACGAATTTAATATATGTTATTTTTTTGATATAATTTATATAAAATATTTTGAATTTTATGTTTTAAACAAATTTACATTTGATAAATAAAATAATAAATTTTATTTTTTATGAGTTTTTAAATATTTAGAATTGTCTATTATTGTGACTAATGCATTTTTTTTCTGTAGTTTTCAATGTATTGCAAAAAGAAGGACATTTTATGCGCAAATTCCTGGTCAAATTTAAATTAATTGATTCACGAAAAATGAAATGTGTCGTATAAATTGAGACATAGAGAGTACTTATTACATTGTTTATTTTAATTTATGTGACACAAATAAAATTTTGTAAGTTATCTAAATATTTATATAATTTATAAAAATATTTTAAATTATTAATTATTGTGATTTTATAACACTCTTTACATAATTTTCAAGAAATAATGTTTTATCTTTTTAGTTTATGTGGCATTAATACAATTTCAAAAGTCAATTATATTAATTTCAAAAGTCAATTACATTTCTATTGTTTGTGATTTATAGTATATGTTTCTTATGTAATTTTTAAATAATACAGGTTATTTTTTTCAAACCTAATTAATCCCCTTTTTCTATTCCAACTGAATTATTCTACTTATAAAAAATTAGTGGTTTTTCTGAAAACTACGTCCACTAATAAATAAGAAGATAATAATAGATTAAATAATAATAATAGTCATTTTAACCATAGGACATCAACTTTATAATATGATACTAATAATTAGTTTAGTAACATTTTGTTGAATTAATTCACTTAACATTTATAGGCACAAATACAAACAGAACCACCTCCCATACAAGATCTAGGATAAATATATTGTTTAACTTCATCAAATATTTATCATAATCTATATTAAATTATGAATTTGTGAATATTAGTCTGGTCAAATTATTGGTTAATAGAATTGAGTTAATGTTTAAATTAAAATTATATGACTTAGATCTGTCTTATTATATTCGAATTAGTATGTTAAGTTGACAAGAGAGGTTCAATCAATTTTCTTCAAGTTTACGATCCACTAGAATTACTTGGAAACCAAAATACCTCCAAGTCACGATATATACCTATATAAAGGGGTTTTATATATTTACGATCGTGATCAAAATTCAACTTTATTCATGACGAAATTCCAATAAATATTTTGTTAATTCAAGAATCGAACATTTTTTGTGACCCGTTTTTCTTTTTTCTTTTTTTAAACTCGTTTTGTATAAGGTGAAAGATTGACATGAACATACATCTGTTATTTAGAATTGGCATATTTTAAACTCAATATTTTAATTAGCAATTTTAACTTAAAATAATGGCATTCGTTAACATCTATTTGACATTATTAAATATAGTAACATATCATCAGTAAAGTAATATTAAAAATATACAAATCGTTTGTTCAAAGTAGAAGTGTACACCCTCAAATTAAATTATGCTATTACACCATTATGATTAAGTATATTTTTGGAGTGGTTATATTGTATCAACAATTTGCTTTTTTCGATGTGTATCTAATACATATGTAGTATAACTTACATGTATCTCGTATATGTATCTAATGTATATATAGTATAATTCACATGTATCTCAGATAGATAAATAAATCTTGCTCGGCTCCTTATATATATATATATATATATATATATTGATGTATTTGTCTACTGAATATGTTATGAAGTTTAATTAAAGAGATAAAATGTAATTATTTCAAATTATAGGAAGAATTATTAAATATGATAAAAATATCTGTACGATTAGATAATTCCTCATAATTTCTAAGTGAAAGAATGACTAGCCAATTATTAACTCAAAAACATATTTTGATTCGTAAATCCTTCCTCATAATTTCTAAGTGAAAGAATGACTAGCCAATTATTAACTCAAAAACATATTTTGATTCGTAAATCCGTTTATTTAACGTCCCTAACTTTTTTTAAAACAAAAATAAAATGAAAAGAGCATGCTCCACATTCACTAAATAAAAGGAGGATAATACCAAGAGCATTTGCATGCAATTAAATTAGTAATGTATTCATTTTGACATTTTGATGAAAGAAACTATTGTAACATTTATGTTGTTTCATATGTGTTTTGAACATTTGGATTCTTAATTTCTCAAAAGCCTTCTACAATAGTAGCCACAAAGACAAATACGATCAGGTTTATCTGGACTCAGTATACAACCTGCGTTAATTAATCTATCTTTATATTTATCCTTGCAACTAGGCATACAATCTTCATCCACCTTGCATTTTATGTTGAAGATTGGAGAAGCACATTGCAAATCTTTAACTTGATGGTCTTGAGCAATCGTCCCGTCAAGGACTATAACAAAAAAAAAATATTATCGAATCAATTAAAGAAAATCCAATTTTGATAAACGTTCGACTCAAAAAATAGCTAAAATATAAATGATAAAATATTTTTAAAAAATAAAAATAAAAATGAGAGAGTTAATGAACAAACCTAACAAAAACATGATGATAAGAAGAAGAGAGTAGTAGACTGAAACTTTTGCCATATTTTATGCTTTGATTAATTGTGCTTTTGCTTTTGGAGAGGATATTATGAATTATTTGGCCATGGTTCTAATATATATACTATTTATATAGTGTTAAACTAATCAAATTGTTACACCCTCCTCCGTCCACTATTATTTGTCTATTTTTAGAGTCAAACTATAAGAACTTTGACCAACAGTTTAATTAAGATGTATTTTTTCATGATGTTGATATAAAGAATATTGCAATTTATAGTACTTTTATATAGTTTTTGAATATTTAAATTTTTTGTTTAAAATATCAAATTAATGTAATCTAATTTAACTTTGAAAATTAGTCAAATTTACTTTGAAAAAGAGCAACAGACAAATAAAAATGGACGGGATGAGTATAATTCGGTCAAAGTCACATTGTTTTACTAGATATCAAACTTTAATTGTGCAAGAAAATATTGAAGTTTTTCTATAATTGTATGAGAAAATATTGAAGTTTTTCTAATTTTGCAAGAAAATATTGAAATTTTTCTTTAATTGTGCAAGAAAATATTGAAGTTTTTCTTTAATTGTGAAAGAAAATATTGAAGTTCTTCCGCGGATTGACCCAATTTTTGGTGGTGTTTAATATTTTTCCTTAAATATCATAAGCTTTGATTTTTGTATCTATTGCTTATTTAATAAATATTTGTGAACTAAAAATATTTTTAGAGCATTTTGGTGTCATAGACGACTTGAGAAGTGTGAAACTTGTGAAAACAATAGAGACAAGAAAACATTTTAAAAGTGATCTATAACTCTAATTTGCTTGCACAATTATTTAGATCGTCATAAGTTTAGAAAACTTTATAAATTTTATCGTTTAATTATGCCTCATAAATTAATATAATTTATGAGTTTTGAAATACAATATAACATGTGATATATCTATGAATGACTCATAAAAATGGTTTGATTTTCAATGTTAGGGATATTTTTACCTCTTATTTTACTTTTGTATTGGTCAAAGCTTCACTTTTTGCTGCAAACTCATCATATTAAATCATTTTGAATATGTTAATTAAAATGCTATTGTCTAATAAAAAATAAAATTGAGAGGCTTAAATTAATTAAACAAAATAGTATAGTAGTAAAAGGTAAGTAAGTGCAAATATAATTATTTACATTAACAACAAATAAATTTAAAGATTATTTTTCTTTAATTTCCATTAAATTTAGTTGTTAATGTACAATGTATTTTATAATTTCTTACTATAAATAGAGATTTCTACTGAATTTCCATAAATTCGAACCAAAATATTCATATATCAAAAATTTACACCCAATACACTACATCCATCAATTAATAAGAAGATAACAATAGTATGATGTATAACTTGTTGTAAAATTAAATAATAATAAACTTTGATCATAAAACATTAACCTTATAATTTATTAAATCAAATAAATGATGAGTTTTATAATATTTTGAATAATTCATCCACTTAAAATAAGCCTTTTTAACAATTATAGGCACAAATACAAACTGAACCACCCCCCATACAAGATTTGGGAAATACTGGACCAGGAAATCTCTCATCACAAATTGGCACACAATCCTTGGTGTCTTTGCATTGTATGTCATAAACTGGTGTATCACATTCCTTAGCAATAGTAGGGTTGAGAACTAAAAAAAAAAACAAAAAAAACGTCAGAATACATAAATATATCATTTAACATTGTCTGAGATTTATGACTTTCAGTATTAAACGTGCACAAAATAATGTAGACACAAGCATTCTATCTATGAAGAAATTGTGATTGTATTACACAAGTAGTATTACAAATAAAATAGTTTTTTACTTTTTTTCCAATTTTTTGTTACGAAAAGTTGTTTTGAATATAGAATTGTTATAAGTTTTTAGAATTTTTAAAAGGTTGAAAAACCCCAAAAGAGTTTGTTTTCACGATCGAAATCACTCGCTAAAATCCAATCTACTCTGATTTTCGAATATCATTTTCCACTTAGGTTGAAAACAAATATCAGGATATATTTTCTTCGGATTTTATGATTTTTATATTCAAACGCTCATTAAATTGTGATTATATTTAAATATAAGTAGTATTTATACAGATAAAATTTATCTAATAAGATATTCTGAAAATCATGTTAATGATAAAATAGATAAAATATAAACAGAAAGTAATTTAAATTTAAATATAAAACTTGTAAAAAAAGGAGTTTTGATGTACAAACCAGAGAAATATGTGATGACAAGAAGGAGATAGTAGTAAACTAAAACTTTTGCCATTTCTACTTGATAATTATTATATTATAAAGAGAATGTTGAATGAATTGTATAGCCATGGTTGCAATCTATATATAGGAGTAAAAATAATTATTATGATAATCCAGTCAATATTACATTATTTTATGAATTTAAGAAAACAATCTTCTATTAAATAAGAAAATAACTAGTTAGTTTCTAATATATTTGATGTTAATTACCTATGACCATTGACCAATAGAGATTAAATTTTTTTTATTGGATATCATTTAAACTAGATATCAAACTTTAATTGTGCAAGAAAATATTGAAGTTTTTCCATGGGTTGACCCAATTTTTTTTAATTTTTTTTTGGGGGGGGGGGTCTTTACTATTTTTCCTTTTTTAGTTTTTGTATTTTATATTTATTCAATAAAAATTGTAAATTAAAGTTTTCTTATTTATGACCCCAATTATATTTGCTTGATATAAGTTTAGAGTACTTTAGTCTTAACCGATATAAGTTCTGTAAATTTATATGCAACATGAGTTGTGAGGTATTTTTTAACATAATTCACTGGACAAAAATTTAGAGCATTTTATAAATTTATTAATAATTAAATAATGTCTATTAGGACATAATTTGTGAAATTTTAATTGAACTTTTGCCTCTTGTGGCATAAGTTTCATAGGAATTGAATTATTTCATAACTTGTTGTGCCTTATAGAATGTAACATATGGTATCTTGTGATTTA